CAAATCTTATTTATTTATTAAATTACAGTATAATCCAAATGACCGTGTCTATTACGTGAGTCACAATTTGGAGACGCAGCACTGTCTTTTTTGGTCGGACAGCAAGTACACTTTTGAAGGGGATGTTGATGATTTCTTATACATTAGGTACTATTTAAATATCAATGAAGTCAAGTAATTAAACTCAAGCTTTTTAGGAACTCGTCATCGTCTTTCTTTGACTACTTTGAGTTATGGTTTCAGAAGAAAAGAAATCTGGGTGAGTTATTTGGTGAGAGACAAGAGACTCAGACCGTTATATCAGTTTTGTAGAAGAAAACGGACAAATTTAAGGCCCGGCAATCGATTCGCCGATCTCGAAAATTCCCGAGTACAAATTTAGAGCTCTTTTTTATATTAAGCTGTCCAGAAAGTCTTTTCATTCCTTTTCGTACTTGAAAATTAATAAATTCACTAATTCCGGGGTGGTCCGTACGGGGTGGTCCGTACGGGGTGGTCCGTACGGGGTGGTCCGTACGGGGTGGTCCGTACGGGGTGGTCCGTACGGGGTGGTCCGTACGGGGTGGTCCGTACGGGGTGGTCCGTACGGGGTGGTCCGTACGGGGTGGTCCGTACAGGGTGGTCCGTACGGGGTGGTCCGTACGGGGTGGTCCGTACGGGGTGGTCCGTACGGGGGTGGTCCGTACGGGGTGGTCCGTACGGGTGGTCCGTACGGGGTGGTCCGTACGGGGGTGGTCCGTACGGGGTGGTCCGTACGGGGTGGTCCGTACGGGGTGGTCCGTACAGGGGTGGTCCGTACGGGGTGGTCCGTACGGGGTGGTCCGTACGGGGTGGTCCGTACGGGGTGGTCCGTACGGGGTGGTCCGTACAGGGGTGGTCCGTACGGGGTGGTCCGTACGGGGTGGTCCGTACGGGGGTGGTCCGTACGGGGGTGGTCCGTACGGGGTGGTCCGTACGGGGTGGTCCGGGGGGTGGTCCGTACGGGGTGGTCCGTACGGGGTGGTCCGTACGGGGTGGTCCGTACGGGGTGGTCCGTACAAGGGTGGTCCGTACGGGGTGGTCCGTACGGGGTGGTCCGTACGGGGTGGTCCGTACGGGGTGGTCCGTACGGGGTGGTCCGTACGGGGTGGTCCGTACGGGAAGAAGCGATAAACGATTGAGCTTCAAACAAAGACACGGGATTGTTTTTCGAACATTGTAAAGAGAAGCCGCCGATACTATCTACAACGACGTCAACAAATGGGAAGATAAAGTATTGCAAGGACTCTTGGATGAATTCGAGCTAAAAGATGTATACAATCTTGATGAGCCAGGGCTTTTTTTGAAAGCTCACTCCCAACAAGACCAGGAGAACGATGCACAAGCGGCAAAAAGCGTAAAGAACGAGTCACTGTTCTTGTTGGATCAAATATGGATGAATCAGAAAATATCCTTTTCTCGTGATCGGCTAATCGAAGAAACGACGGTGCTTTAAAAATGCAAAACTGTCGGTGCTCTACGACGCTAACTCAAAGGCTTGGATGACGCGCGAATTATTTGAGGGTTACCTAAAGAAATGGAATTTTGCTCAAGCACAACAGGAAGATTTGGCTTTTCTTCGCGCTTTGGGCGTCACTATGCCCAAATCGAAGGAAGCTATGCCCAATTTTTGTCACTATGCCGTCACTATGCTCAATTTTTCCCTTTAATTTGGCTGTATTTTTGGTACAAATTCAATATCCTGTTAAAGTATTGTTAAACATGAGCTAAACTAAGAGGAAAGTGCGATCTTACTCGAGACTTGTAAGAAGATGTATTTATTTTTCCTAGATTGATCAACTGATCCATTTCCAGGTGCTCTCTCATTCCCTCATGTCGGTTTGGCGTTTCGACCGCGAATCATCGAGAAACCCTACAAATATGAGAATGTTTTGAAATTCGATGCTCTGCGAAAACCGAAAGTTTTCTCTTATCCAAGATTTCCAAAGGTACTATGGAAGATGAGTATTCAGAGTGTTAAATTTTAAATCAATCACACCAAATTTGTAGTTTAGCCAATTTGAAGCAGCCATGCTCTAGAATGAAGAGTTTTGATGTTAAAAGTTTAGAGTGTATTTCTCACCGAGTACGTGAAGAGTAGCTGGATTCACTATCCAAGGAAGTATTTTGGTGGGAAGAAGCTATATAATGTGAGTTGGGATTTGGATATAAGGGTAAGCCAGGTTAAACCTGGCTCTAGTGGCTATGGGGCTCTTAAACTTGTGCCCGATAGAATTGTGTTTATTGTATTTTGAAAAGTTCAGTTATTGTAGCTTCTAGGTGCCATTAAAGGAAGGGCTTCACCTTCATGCGCGAATGAATTTCGACTTTGAGGGAATAAAGGACGAGACGCCGACTCCATATCCGGATGTGCGATTTTTTGAAGAGGCAAGTATAGGACAAGAATTAACAACAAGAATGATCAAAACTAATTTGCTTTGGATTACGAATTACTATTGTACTTTTCCATGAATTCACTAGACGTGGCTAGACCTGTGCGCTTTTGCTTGAATGAATAACAAAAAAAATTTATTTAATACAAGCTTCAAATAAATTAAGCGTGCGAAAAATGTTTCAACGAAGCTCCAAGAAACAATGTGTTGATTCAAAGACAAAAAGGAATCACTTTGATGAAAATTGTACCTAGTAATTGTGGAAGTATCTCGAACAAAAGAAAACAACTTTCAAAAGACTAAATGAGAGAAAATTCTGACTAAATGGGAAAGAAGGCGTGCTTATATACGCGTTTGAGCACGAAATTGTTTAGGGTACGGTATTTCTGGTGTCTTATTAGACGGCGGTAGCTTTTTGGCGACTCGTCGTCACAAGAATTGACAAATTAACAGTTATTAGAAGTTGCAGAAAAAGGGGAAAAGGTTTATTGCCGATATTCAGAAAAAGATGGACTCGATTCTCGAAGAGATTGGTGGAATTGCTAGAGAGATTTTCGGGAATGAAACCCCGGAATATCGAGGCTTTGAGGTTCAAGCCGCCATACGAGACTGCAGAGCAAGGTTTCATTTGAAAAAAGCACAATATATATTAAATTTAGACTCAAAGCATCAAAAGCGAGCTGCGTTGACCCGGGTGTATCATGTTTTGAAGAAGTTTTTCTCTTGGATGATTGGTGGTTAGCTGAACCGACAGAAGAAAGTTATTATATTATATTGTAAAAAGAAAATTTCAATCATTTCTTGATAACAATAATAAATAATAAATGATCTGTGATTGATTTTTCTTTTGAATTTGATCAAATGTGTTCAAACTTTCATTTGAAGAACGTTGATTTGGATAGCGATTGATATTTGGATAGATTTTGACGTACAGTACTGGACAATGAAATATCATATTTGAAAAACGATCGTCACTTTCGCGCATCTGTAACTCCCTTTTCTTTGAGTTTAAACTATTAGTGTTATACATTTTCTGAAAGCTCTTTTCAAGGGCTACACAATGGTAATATTAATCTTTAGAAATATGGTATTTTTTTGACGCATTTCAGCGCGCACAAGATGGGATACTCAAAATTGTTGATTTTCAAAGCTGTTTTTCTTTATGATAGAGTGCTGGAATCGCTCTAAAACTACGATTTTTGGAATCTACGCAAAAATTTACCCTAGGATAATCAATATTTGTAAAAGTTTCATAGCGAAAAAAACCACATTTGCGAAATTCTCACTTCTTGGGCGGTCAAGCGAGGAAGAAGCTGAAAAATTTTCTCGGCCGATTTTCTATCAAACCATGTCTAGTGTGTACCAAAGCCACAGTTCGTCGTTGGTTTTCCATGATATTAAAGGACTAGCCAAATTTTAGAAAGAGCATAAACTAAACATGTTTGTTGGTCAACTGTATGCAAGAGAATAGGGGTGAGCCGATTAAGCGTAAAGAGATATAACAGTCAACAGTCAGTGCCTCCGTTTTTTGTTCAGCAGAAAAACCCTTCCCATTTTAAAGAATGTGCAAGAGTAGAAGTACAAGAAAAGGTGAAAATGTCTCCTTAATACACAAAAAACTACTATCGTTTCCGCTTCATATTATTGCATTTTTGAGATGATTAAGCAACCCCCTAGCTGAGCACCAGTTCAGCCAAAACAATGGCGTTTGAAAGTGGTTCACTCAATAAAGCCCTTTGTATGAGCCATGATAATCTGCGCAGATGTTGGCATCGAGTCATTGATGTGTGGGGTAGAAATAAATAATTTTGGAAATGCTCTATAAAATTTTTAAGTTCTGTGAAATTTTGGAGAAAAAATTGCATAGGATGTGGGCCAAGCCAATATTTTCGATTTTTTAGGAACCCTTAGATTGGATAGATATAACTTGGGATTATTTTTAGAGATAAAACTTGAACTTTATAAATGCTTGCGATAGTCAATGAGTGCGAGAGGTGAGAGACGGTTTTTGGCTCACGGCGTTCTTTTTCAATTTTCTATCTACTCACCCCGCTTTTATCCTTGTCATTTTCTGCGAACTTCATGCATTGGTTCTCCTGGACTTGTTTGATGATCAACGACCAGTCCTCTTTCTTGCTTGCTTCACTCTTTTTGATCACTTCAACAGCAAAAGTGACTGCCTTCTAGAATGTTTTGGAGTTAACCCTTTAAATTCAATTTTTTTTATTTACTTACTGGACAAAAGAAACAGAACCCATCTCGAGCCACGAGCCACGAGCCATCACTTTCCACTTCTTCAAAAAAGAAAACGGCAAAAATTAAAAGAAATGGGAATTTTGTGAACATTTTTGACAGCCGATATACACAAAATTGTATCAAAATGAAAACTGAAAAGGAAAACAGACCGTCAAAATTTATTTTACTTACTCCAGACAGAATACAAATGATTTTTTTCTCAATTTTAGCTTTTGATCAAAACTTTTTCGGCTCATTACGATAAACCAAACCAATAAAGGCTTGATGCTACGAATCGAGTTTGCAAGTGCATAGCCATCTTTAACATAATGAAACAAGAGCTTAAAGTATTTATTCAACGACAAAGTGCGTTGCACGTGGTAACACAAATAGTATAAGTAAGCATTGGCTGCCCATAGAACATGCCCGCAGCAGCGGCCGCGGGCACATTGCCATCAGATCGCAGGCCTCTTTCCCAGCCAAAGGCTCTGTGGCAAGCTCGCCGGCAACCACGTACAGAAATTGGGGAGCGTTCAGGAAAATCATGTCACAATAGTCGCAATCTCTGAATATCGGGATGTGGCTGTCGAAGGCTTTCAGCTTCAGATCGTCGCAATTCACCGAGTCTCCAGCACTCTGAAAATCTTCGCTTTTTAGGCGGCAAAAGTCCTGTATGTATTGTTTTTTACCCGAGTTGGGTGAAACTTGTTTTTAAATTGGAAAATATCAAGAGTTTGTTTGGACTTTTAACCACTTAACTTACATTTAAATGTAAAAACCGTTTAGACCCTAGTATTGGCTAATCAATCAACTTAGGTAGGCTGACTTATGCTTTAAATGTAAAAATGTCTTGTGTTGCGATTAAAATTCTGCGCAACTTACATCCAAGTAACCCTCCATGTACTCCATCAGTTTCGGTCGAACACACTCGAAGAACCTTTTGCCTGCTGAAGTGAAAAGGTTGGTGTGGTCTAAAGTTTGGCTGGTTTTTCGATTCAAAAGCCGACTTACCGATGAAACTGTTGCAGTATTTGTATCCAAAGCTAAGTAAGTATCCGCTTGGACCACAGTGAGCTCTTGTGTCGTCGAGGCACTTGTACTCGGAACACTGTCGGTTTCGGCAGTCACCAGAAGTGGTCGAAGGAATCGGGCTCGTCGTGTTGGGCTGCGGTGGGGTGGTCGGTGGGCCGTCAACGCACGGCAGAGTGAAGTACCAGGCAGTGCTTGTTGTCCCGTCACAGTTCGGCTCGACATCAACACGGACTTCCATAGAGTTCCCTGAAACTCTGAATTTCTGTTTTGAACCTATAAGCATTGTACTGCACTAGTAAAACATTTTTTATGCCAAGTAGCTTTTTCAGATAAATCAGATAACAAAGAATGTTCGGAAGTGAACCATTAATCAAATTTTAGGTCTTGAAACCATTAGGAACTTCTAGGTATTACCTTTGCAAATTTTATAGAACTGACCATCGAAACCGATCGGCGTCGTCCTTTCTCCTTCTGTGCCAACGCAGCCGCTGTCGAATATCTCATCGCCCTCATAGGTGACAGTGATACGATCGGGTACGGAGAACGTTTCATACAGAAATTGAAGATTTGCCGCCTGTTTGGTGCCCATATTGTATCGACGAGTGACGGGAGTGTTGGCGCCGGCCACTTGCTGGCCATCACACTGTGAGCAAGAGGACGTGGCGCAAGGGGAGTCACTCTTCGCGTCACACTGAGATCCACAGGCAACCGGGAGATCGTTGTCGAATTGGGCAGCCGATCCCACAACCGCGTCCCCATTCTCGATCGAGTACGGCGTCCACTTGGCCCCTAAGCAAGACCCATAGTCTTGTCTCGAGCACATCGCATCACCCATCCGCACTTGGATTTGAAAAACCTGACTTCCGTCTGGCAAAGTGCCTATAAAGCTTTTGATATAAATTGAAAGGCAAAGTGCCTATAAAGTTTTTGATATAAATTGAAAATATTTATTCAAAAGCTATTGGTTGCTTTCATTTTTCTTTGCCTCTTTTATCCTCACAGCCACAGCAGCCACCAAGGCAGCCCCTTGGCCAGATCCGTCGATTGAGAGCACGAGTTGGTACTGAAAAAAGTTTTTTTTTATTCTAGATTTTGATTTAAGATAACTAGATTCAGTATTTTGCCGTCAGAATGTTTTGTTTTTCAGTTTTAGATCACCCGACCTTCAAGTGCATATCGATCAGCTCAGAGAGCTTTTTGTCGTATAGTCGAGAGAATGTTGAATGAAACCTGAAAAAGAGACAATTTATTTTGGTTTTTGCGTTAAAAAAATAGCAAAAAAGATAAGAAACTGAATGTATTATTTTGTTAATCAAAATCTGACACCTGTAAACACTTCCGTCGATTTCAATCGACACAAATTGGCGGCCCATTCGATTCAAGAGTGCTGCTGTGGCCGCAGCTATGAGGTGGGCTGCTCTGGAAATGACCAGGCAATAAAACTAGCTATGGATAGTTGTATTTTTATTCTTTCTGACCATCTACATATTCACCTTGTTGAGACAAGCGTACAAACACAGTCGAGTTTTGTCACTTCGTCGATGCCCATCGATTTGAGGATTTGAAAGGTTTTCGAGAAGATTTGGTCGTCGTCTTCGAGAAATTCTCTGGAAACAAAAAAAAAAAAGTTAGTCTTAGATAAACTTTTTGTAAATTGATAAAACTTATAAACCAAAATAAGCTTAGATAGATCAAGATTAGATGGAAAAATACATCGATTGAAACTTGAAGCTTGACTATCCAGTCTGGCCAGTCTTACAAGACTTGGAGAATCGGACCTAAGCCAATTGAAAAATGGTCGAGTTTTAACATAATATCAATTTTCAGTAGTTCAATAATATTTTTGCTTTTTCGAACCAAACCTCTCGATCTCCGATATGTACTCCGTCAGGAAGACCCCCTTCTCCGAGATTCCATCCGTTTTCCCATCGAATAGAAGGTTCTCTCTGGCCAATCGAACGAGGATCAGCCTGACCAAATCACCCAAATACATTCCGGATGACATTTTTAGAAACCTGAAAGATTTATGACTTTGTTTTTCAGTTCAATTTACAGTTGCTGTCCAGGATTGATGGTCTCCTCATCGACTTGTCTGTCGAACTCTGTCCTCAGGTCCTCGATCTCTCCATCGTCTCCAAATGCACCCCATTCGGTGTTTATCTATGGGTTAAAATTATTGGCTATTCATTTTGATCCACTTGATCCGATTTATCATTCAAATCGATCTCTGGGTCGCCCTCAAGCTTCGAGCATTTCGAGAGCTTCTCCATGTAAAAAGCATTCGTGCCAGTCCCAACGATTATACCCACCTGAACTAATTGATTGATTGATTGAACAGAATCATTGGTTTTACTTTGAATTTACGGTTTTACGGACCACCCCGTACGGACCACCCCGTACGGACCACCCCGTACGGACCACCCCGGAATTAGTGAATTTATTAATTTTCAAGTACGAAAAGGAATGAAAAGACTTTCTGGACAGCTTAATATAAAAAAGAGCTCTAAATTTGTACTCGGGAATTTTCGAGATCGGCGAATCGATTGCCGGGCCTTAAATTTGTCCGTTTTCTTCTACAAAACTGATATAACGGTCTGAGTCTCTTGTCTCTCACCAAATAACTCACCCAGATTTCTTTTCTTCTGAAACCATAACTCAAAGTAGTCAAAGAAAGACGATGACGAGTTCCTAAAAAGCTTGAGTTTAATTACTTGAATTTGGCAATAGAATCTAAAATTGTAAAAGTTTTCGAGTAATGGAGTTCATTTTTCAAAGTTTATTTAGCTACTAAAGCAAATTACAGTAACGTTTAAAACTCACGACTTTTTATTTGCGTAACTTTTTGCTTTTTCTTAAAAACCGTTGCTAATTCATTTCTTTTTTTTGCAGAAATTCAACAATCATCGTCTGGTTATTAAGTGAAAATGCCCAAATCAAGGTAAGTTGCGAGTTCTTTTATAATTCAGTAAACTTAAGTGATTTTTAAACGCTTAACACCCTCGCCACAATGGATTCCAATTCTGGAACCCAACTAATCACTAAATGAATTTCAAATCAACTCATTACTCATCACTTTACGCTTAAAAGCAACTTAAAACATTTAATCGCGTTTAACACCTTTAACTTAAGTGATTTTTAAACGCTTAACACCCTCGCGACAATGAATTCCAATTCTTTCTCTTCTTGGATGTCTCGGCTAGTTTTGTAGGAAAATCTAGTAAAGATACAGTCAGATTTGGGGCTCCGGCTTTCCGAGAAAAACCCTATTTTTAGTCATTTCATTTTCATTTTAGTCATTTCATTTCAAAATGAAACCGTTTGCCTTCTAAAAAAGCATTTTTTTTAGAAGGCAAATAAAAAAGCATTTTTTTTAAAATTTTTGATTTGTTTTTTGAATCAAAAAATAAGTTTTTCCAAAGCCAACTCACAATTCAGTCAAAGCCTCTTGGCTGTCCTGAGCATTTCGGAAAAAGAATTGTCAAAAGATGGTATCGAACCGGAAAACCTTGGCTTGAGTACAAAATTTGAAACTCACGACAGAAAAGCGAGCAAAATTATGATGTAAACAGTCCACCCGATCAAAAATGCTGTCAGAAACAAAACAGTTCAAGAAAAAGTTGAGCTCTTGTTCGATGAAAGTTCACTGGAAAGTTCACTTGAAAAACAAGCTTTCCCTACTTTGTAGTTGCTTCCAAAAGCTGTTCTTCCATCAAAAAATGACTCAAAAATAAACAAAATTTAGCTCAAAAAGCTAGTTTTTTTCCTTCAAAAAAAGCCTTTATCAGTGGCCAGGTTGATTTTTTGTTCTGTAAATTTTACGATTTGGTTTGAACTTTGCTGACTCATAAAATTTGTAAAAACTTACCCTTAAATAAATACAATTAAAACAACAAATCTTTTACTTTAAACTTTCGAAACTTTGATCGTGTTTAGCTTTTGACCTTGATTATTGATTATTTGAATCAAAAGTATGCTGTTCGACGATAACATTTGTGTGTTTTTTGTTTTCGAAAATTGGTCATTTGTTTGATAAACATTCATTTTTTTTCAAAACTTTTACTTCGCCAAGTTTTTATTTATTGCAAAACCACCCAACATTCTTTTCTATTTTTTCCGCATTTCCCAGGCAGATGGCTGTCTTTTGGAGAGTATTTCAGAGCTCCCTTGTCACTGCCGATATCATGGGTGCAGCCGGCATAAAGCAACGTTCGGTGTCATCCGTGTATTCATTTGTAATTAGTGTGTGAAGCTTTGTCTCTATCCTATTAACGTGCCTAAAGTCTGCATAAAAGTAAGAACGGCTTGATCAATATTGACATTCATTTCTGAAAAATTCTATTTTAAACTTTTTGACTCATTAAAATTTGTTAAAAGTTACACAAATTCTTCCGTTTTTTAAACCTTTGTCTCTCACCCACAAGTACCTGTTCTTTGTGAAACTTCCTCAAACACTCGGAAATCACACATCTGTTTGCTGATCGTGTCCAAAAGTGGGCAGTTAGGTGATTGTTTGTTGAAGGAAAAAAAAGAAAAAAGCTGAAAATATCTTTTTGTGTACCTAACAGTCTTTGGTCAAAAGAAAAAGAGCGAAAAAGTGCGTGGGTTGGGGTCTTTTTGACCAAAAAAGGGCCCAAATACACACAGATTAGCCCATTTTTTGCTGAAAAAGGCCCTCCGTCTTTAAGGAAATAACCTTTATTGGTCAAAGGCTTGTATTTAAGGACTCATTCGAACCTTGAGCTTTCAAAATAGAAATATTTCTCGAAAAATGCTGAAAGTGACCCTATTCTTCGTCTTCGCCATTCTTCTATTGCAGTCGATGGTCTCTGGACAAGAAGACAGACAAGCTTCAGTGGTCGGTTTGGCTTTAAACTAGACAAATCAAATTTACGGCTCAGTTTTTAAATCAGGGCTGCCAGAACTGTTGAATAAAGTCTAGTACCAAGTCGAATCGACCCTTACATGTACTAGATGGCTGCATATGAACATATGCACTTTTCAAAATGGGTCCACTTTCAGAGACCGTATTTTGGCCAATTTTCAACATTTTTGTGAAATCTTTTTTTGATCGAAAGCTGAAACTTAGGAGAGGATTTTAAGCTACTAGGTTATTTGACTTGAAAACAGCTTTGAAATTCTAAACCGTGCTCCATTTGTGACGATTGAGAACAAAAGTCAAAAATGAAATTGCTTCGGACTGTATTTCCTATATACAGTTTTGTAGATAATTTAATTGCGCATCTTTTGACCAGCCAAAAATTTCATTTTTTTTTTCAAAAATTTGACCAGCCGTCACAAATGGAGCACGGTTTAGAATTTCAAAGCTGTTTTCAAGTCAAATAACCTAGTAGCTTAAAATCCTCTCCTAAGTTTCAGCTTTCGATCAAAAAAAGATTTCACAAAAATGTTGAAAATTGGCCAAAATACGGTCTCTGAAAGTGGACCCATTTTGAAAAGTGCATATGTTCATATGCAGCCACCTAATTTTTATTAGGCCGTTGACCAAGTCGTCTCCCGGCCTGCCCGCCCTGCTTTTGTGTCTAGATTTCATGAAGAAACGATGCTGCAATAAGTCGTGCTCTGGAATTGGCTGCCACAAAGCAATGTGTGCTGTTTGTTGTTGACTCGAGTTTTGGATAAACCCGATTTTAGAACGATTTGAACACATAAATACGGAACTGAATCTAAAAGATAAATTTTAAGCTGGATTCTTGAAAAAACCAAAATTAATACAGGCACAAACTTGGCTTTGTTTTTTTCCTGTTAAGAGACTGCGCCTAATCTCTATATCTAACAGCTTTGTCAAACAACCTTACTAATCCCAAACTTTAGTCTAAACGAGCCCCATGGGACGTGATCGTCTCGAGGCCTTCCCGAGGCATCGTCTGCACGGATTACATGAAAAAGAGATGCTGCAACAAAGGCTGCAAAGGCGTCGGCTGTTACCAAGCCTTGTGTGTCGTTTGCTGTTGATTTGATTGAAATAAATAATTACTTGATCTAGGAAAATTTCAGGACCTCCTCGTCGACGTGGCACATAGGTTACAAAAATAATCGTCTTTAAATCAAAAATCCGAACACTAAAAATTTTAAGTTAGGCCAAAAAATGAACGGAAAAAATAAAATGTTCCGAAAAGCATCATCCAAAATTTCAGAATTCAAGGCGGCGACTTTGATGTTAGTGAAATTTCATATTTCATCGAACCATAAAGTGTTATGTGTCATTCAATAGCTCTTTTCACGCTCTTTCAGAATACTGAATTGAGTTTTTGTGGAATTCTATTTTTCCATGAAATTTTTTCCATATTCGGCGCCGAAAAGTCAAAATAATTTTTTTCACGAAAATCTAGCCGATAAACTAGGCTCAAAAAGCAAATTTCTGAATTCTACCCAAAAAGTTGGTCCGGAACCGTTTTTTAATTTTGTGTTTTGGTCAATGGAAACGCGAGCTCTGAAACCCAGGTTTTTTAGAAGTGCGCGGTTATAGGGCCCACGCGCACCTTTGATGTTGGTAAAATTTTTCTTTTGTGTCAAGTGTTATATAGCATTCGAAAGCAGTTTTATGTGTTTAAACATGGCGGAAAGAATTTCCCAAAACCTTGACTTTTTATTAGTTTTCTCCGATTTTATAATCTGGAATGCAGTTTTTTTTTCTGATTCTGCGGTACCTACAGATCTGGTATAGTGTAGAAAATATTTATTCTAAAAAAAGTGAAGAACCCAATTTTTTTTGAAGAAAGACTTACCATTCCAGGAAAGTTGAAATTGAGCGTATTTGTCAATCTCGGGTAGGAAACCCAGGTGCACAGACAAACATAGACTGCCTTGACAATTACTCGATAAATTACTATGCCAAAGGCATGACAGATGATAAAGTTATAAATGTCAATCGCAGGAGAAAATCATTTAGTTACAGACAATTTTGCTTCCCGATTATTTATTTTTTGATTATTAGCTTATTATTATTTTTCTTATTACATTCGTATTTCCAACACTTTCAAAACAAAAGTTATAATTTGCAGATGGGACGAACATCAGAAGCCAAAAAGTCTAGAAGTGGCAACTTGGAACATGGACGCCAAACGAATCAAAACAACATGCACGGATTACGAAGTGGGAAAGTTCCTGCAAATCCTGTGCAATCAAAAAAATAAGCTCATCACGATTCGCAGACAATCAACAAAAAGAAAAAGTATTCGAGAGGAAAGCACATTTGAAAGGAGCACTGAAGGCAAGGATTCTGAAAGTTAATGAAAAGAAAAGAGCCGAT